CCACCATCACCACCACCACCACCACACACCACAACCACCACCACCAGCCACCAGCACAGCAGCACCAGCACCAGCACCACCAGCACCAGCACCAGCACCACAACCAGCACCAGCCACCCAGCACCAGCACCACCACCACACCACCACCACCACCACCACCACCAAGCACCACCACCACCACGACAACCACGCACACACGCACGCACGCACGCACGCGCACCACCACCCACTACGCACGCGCGCGCGGAGCCACAGGTCCGCTACGACACGCGTCCGCGGATAGAGAAAATCAGCGCCATGGTAAGGGATGGGAGGGAGGGGTAGGACGTCAGATATGACGCGAGCGCACCTAGCTTGTCCTCTCCCCCTCCTCCCCTCCTCCTCCTCACCCTCCTCCTCCCTCCTCCTCCTCCTCCTCCTCCTCCTCCTCCTCCTCCTCTCCTCCCTCCTCCCCCACCTCCTCCTCCTCCTACTCCTCCTCTCCTCCTCCTCCTCCTCCTCCTCCTCCTCCTCCTCCTCCTCTTCCTCCTCTTCCTCCTCCTCCTCCTCCTCCATTGCCAAAGGCGCATGTCGAGACGTCATCTCAGATGTCATCGCGGGCGTCATCTCAGATGACGTCTGCGATGACACCTGAAATGAAGTCTTAGAACACGTCTGCAATCCTTTGCGCCTACCCCGAGTCAGGACGACGATCCCAGATTTCGCGAAGCCCTTCAAATCCGTCCCTGACCTTCCAGGAGGGCTACGGAGCGGCACCAGAGCCTCGACCTCCAGAGGTATGTTCCGTGGAGGTTTAAGGCGGTCCGGAGAAGTCTCTGTGGATCTGGCGGGCTGTTTGTCAGGCGCTCTGGAAGGTCAGGGTAGGCCTCCCAGATGGGGTCCGAGCAGATGGGGATGGAGTATCGCGGAGTACCGCCGAGGCATCGGGAACGCATCTGCGATGCATCGGCAACGTCGGCGGTGCATCGGCGACGTCGACGTACAGAAAATCTGGCTCCACACCGAGCAGCATCGCCGATACGTCGGCGATGCGGCGCGATCCTCGGACCCCATCTCCTCCGACCCCATCTGGGAGGCCTCCAATCCAGCAGGACTCGGGGATCCTCGAGGGTCCTAGACCCACACATGCTCGCGTCGTGACAAACATCCCGACGGAAAGTTCCGGACCACTTTAGGCCACACAGGGGCCCTCGCTGGGCCCCAGGACCGTCAGCAAAACGACTCGCGATGAAAAACTGGCTCCGGGGAACGTCAGGACTTTCCGGGAACCTGCACTGAAAAAACCAGGACGCCGCACGTCTGGGGAGCATCGAGCTCGAACGTCGGAGAGATCGAGGACTGAAACTTGTTGCGCTTTCGGGGGCACATCTGGGCATCAGGATGCGTCGGGTAGCCTCCAGGGGCCTCTGGGGACCTCCGTAGACCTCCCATCTCCGCCTCACCGGCCCCAGCCGGTCCCAGGCATGCCCGCTGATCGTGCAAGAAGTCGCGACCGGAGGTCCTCGGCAGCTCTCGCCCTCCGACGGCCCTCGCCCGGCCCCGAGGAGTCAAGGATGGCTTCACAGTTCGGAGTGGAAAAGCTGGGCCCAGGAAGGGTGGGGACGTCAGGGGACCCCGCATGGTATAAATCAGGACATAGATGTCCCAGGCAAGACCGAAGATCAGCGATGGCCTTCGAGGATCTTCGAGGATCGAAGTCGGAAACCCAAGGTCGAAGATTGAAGTCTCGCCGATGAGGACAAGAAGGAGGACACTGGAATAAACACAAAGGTGCACCAACAATGCTGAAGTACGCCCACCCGTCCCAAGTCCCCGCTGCATGAGGCCTTACAATATTCTTCGCTCAAGGGAATGCCCCCTTGAGAAACGAACGCCACATGGTGTCCACTGACGGTTCTAGCCATGAGCACGGCGACGAAGTAGGACCAGCAAGTTAAAAGCGACTGTCCAGCGAGACCTCCGTTTTGAGAAGATCCGCCCTCGATCCAGGCAGGCGGCGTCAGATTCAGCGTCTGGTCATGGACCCGGAGGAAGTCTCAAGCGAGACCGACGATTTGAAAAGGATCCGGCCTCAATCCGCGCAGAAGTTGCTCCATTAAGGTACTTCGATCATAAGAGCCAGGGGACCCTCAAGCGAAGCGTATACTTCCAACAGGGAGCAGCCCTTCATCCGCAGAAGTGCTTCATCGAGAGCCACATTTCGAAAACACGATCTACATCCGTGTAGCTGCTGGATGATTTCGAGACAAGTCTCTGCGGCGCAAACGCGAACACCACACTTTGAATGGGAGCCGCCATCCGTCATTCTAATTTGTCAGGAAGTCCCCATGCTGAAAATGGTCTGTTTCCTAACTGATGGGAAGGGAACTCCGCCATGCTAGAACAAACCGAACGACCATCCGTCCGTGCAATTGTGAGGAATTCGTGCGGCAAACGCGGCACTGGCGCAAGAGCCACAATTCAAAAACCATCCCCTTTCCATCCGTGCAGTTGTTGAGAGATTCGACGACGAGTGAGCGCGGCGCTCCAGCGAGAGCCGCAGTTTGAAAACACTTGCCCTCCGTCGGTGACACTTTTGGGCTTATACCACGAATGTGCGCGGCGCTATGACGGAATCAACATTCTGAAAGGGAGTCGCCCTCCGTCAGTGAAGCTGCTCGAGGCTCTGACGACGAATGCGGGCAGCGCTGGGGCCAGGGCCACACTTGAAAAGAATCACCGTCCATCCACTTACTTCCTTGGATTGTTTAGAACGAGTGCGCGCGGCACTAAAGCGAAAGACGCATTTTGAACCCCTCCCCTTTCCATCCGCGCAACTGCTGGGAAGGCCGAGCTGCGGGGTTGTAAACGGAAAAGTCCTGGGCGAACCCCTGGTTCGCCCCACAGACACGCCTGGTGGGCAGGCTGGATGGGGCAGCAGGAGGAACAAAGTAAGCCCAAGGTGTGTTAACAATGCTGCAGCGCACCCTCCCGTCCCAAAGCCCTGCGTCAGATGTCCCTTGAGGCCTTCCTTCTCACTGCAAGGGCCCCCCCCTTGAAAGACCCGCCCCCTGTGGGAGCGCCATTCAGCTAAAGGCCCCGCTTCGAAAATGGGATGGCAAGCAGGTGTAATCATACAGTTCAACAACGTGCCCATCAAAATCCCACCACGAGGAGAACCAACACGCCCTCCTTCTCCTCTTCCTCCTCCTCCTCCTCCTCCTCCTCCTTATCATCATCATCATCATCATCATCATCATCATCACCATCACCATCAGCAGCAGCATCATCAACAGCATCATCAGCATCATCATCATCACCACCACCACCATCAGCATCATCATCATCATCATCAGCATCATCAGCATCAGCATCATCATCACCACCATCATCATCATCACCACCACCATCATCATCATCAACAGCATCATCATCAGCAGCATCATCATCATCGGCATCATCAGCATCATCATCACCACCATCATCATCAGCAGTATCATCATCATCATCATCAGCATCATCATCATCAGCATCATCATCACCACCACCATCATCATCAGCAGCATCATCAGCATCATCACCATCATCATCATCAGCATCATCACCATCATCATCATCATCATCATCATCATCATCATCATCATCGTCATCATCATCATTCGCCTTCTCTTAACCCCCCTGGCACTGCTTCAGCGCACCTGTCGCCCCACCTTTGCTCCACAGCGTCTGGGCATGCAGACGTGCTCGTGCTCCAGCGCTTCGTTGCTGCATGACTGAGAAGGTAGAAGTGGAAAAAACAAATCCAACAGAAAGGAAACAACAACAATATCTGTTTTGAAAAACAAAGCTTCAAATGTGTAGATGTCCCAAAAGCCAACACCTCTGGCCAGGAACGCCGGGGAAATGCCAGGTGGGCGCCCCAAGCCTGAAAGGACGCTGCCCTCCATCCGCGCGGGCTGCCCACCAGGCCCAAGATTCGGGCGTGCAAGAGTCCAGGGACGAACACTCGAGGGCCCAGGGACACACACACACACACACACACACACACACGTACACTGACAGAGTCTCAGGAGTCTCCCCAAGTGCCACATTTCCTGGATGTCCGTCGTCCCCTCCGCCCCCGCATATGTCCCCCACTGTCGAGCAAACCTGCGATCGTGCGTGTCTGTGTGTTTGCTTCCCTCTTGGGTACAGTCGCCGCACCAACACGACTCCGAGATGCTCAGTACGACAAGGGGCAGCACTCCAGCCGCCGAGCTGCTGCAATCTCTGAGCATGAGCGAACGCAGCGGCGCAGCGGCGAAGCGAGGGCCCAATTGTGAGAACGGCCCATACTCCACCCTTGCGACTGCGGGGGCACTTTCGAAACGAACGCGCGCAGCGCTACAGCGAGAGCTCCATTTTGAAAACGAGACGCCGCTCATCCTGGACCATCCTCTACACTGTTGGGGAGTGTGGCGGTGCATGGGGCGGGGCATGATGATAATGTATCAGGCGGAACGCCTGGCCGGCCCTACCGACACGTACGTTTGGTGCGACCACCAGGCGAGGGAGGGTTATCGATCAGGAAGAAGGGGAGGAGGAGGCGGAGGAGGAGGAGGAGGAACAACAGGAGGAGGAAGAAAAGGAGGAGAAAGAGGAGGAGGAGAAGAGGCCTGGAGAGAGGAAGGCAGCAGCCGAAAGGGAAAGTGGATGATGGGGGCGGCGGAAGAGGGAATAGGAGGAGGAGGAGGAGGAGGAGGAGAAGGAGAAGGAGGAGAAGAAGCAGGTGGACGGAGGAGGAAGGATAACGGATGATAGCGGAGGAAGAGGGGGGCGGAGGAGAACATACGAAGGGCGCAGAGCAAAATGACAGAAAGAAAGGCGGAAGACCGATGACAGGAGAAAGGAGAGGACACGGGGCCCGACCCGTGGGGTGGGGCAGGGCCCGGCGAAAGTGTACGGTGCACAGTACCAGGGTCGCTGCCGCAAGGGGAGCAGGAGGCCCGCACGCGCGAGCACGAGCCGCCACGGCGGCCTTGGGCACAGGTTGGCAGGCGCGCGGCGCCGATCGCTCGCATCACGCCGCCCCCCCCCTGCCTCCCCCCGCCTCCTCCTCCTCCTCCTCCTCCTCCTCCTCCTCCTCCTCCTCCTCCTGGACGAGAGCATATCAGCCATCGATTGCGCAATGGAAATCTTCTCTGGTCGACGAAGGTGTTGACACGGGGCAGCTTACCGCGACCAGTCTGATTTTTTCGGGGCCTGTGGATTTGGCAGCGTGTCAGTATGCTGACGATCTTTTAAGATTGCATGTTGCTCTGTCTTCCGATCCATTGGCGGAGCTGGTGGATAAGGCCAGGAGAACTTCGGCTGCGCTTACAGTGGCACTTTCCGAAGATGGCTGTGCACAGAACGTTTCTAAGCAAGTTTCTTTGCTGCATCTTGTGGGGGAAGGCTCTCATAAAGGGTATTCGGCGGTAAAAAACAAGCGCATTGTCTTTCCTGGGAAAGTGGTTCAGCAAGCTAGATATCTGGGGGCGCAGTTTGTGGGGGACTCCAGGTTGTCTCGAGCGTGTGGGGCGGAGCTTAAAGCACGGAGAGCAGCTACTATTCGAGCCTTCTACTCCCTCGGGCAGCTCTGGTTTCTTCCCGAGGTACCTTATCGACTGAAGCGTATGTTACTCTTGTCTCATGTGGTGTCTACGGCTACGCACTGCCTGGAGGTTTTTTTCCCGTCGAAGGTGCAGCTGCGTTCTTTGCAGGCTTTGGTGGATGGTTTCGCACGAAAGGCTATGAGGGGAAGGGCGCACAAGGAGGAGGAGGGAAAGCACACGTCTCTGTCGAATGAGGAGGTGCGCAAGTTTTGGCGACTCCCATCTTTAGAAGTGGGGCTCCTTGTACGGCGACTACGTAGGCTACAAGCTATTGCTAGGAAGCCCTTCATGCACGCCCAATGGCTCACGGCCCATTTCGGGAAGTTCCCTTGGGAGTCGGAGCGAACCATGGATCAGCAGGGGCGGCTCCTGGAGGGGGCTAATCCGTGGGCGAAACGAGTTCTGGAGGACCTGGCGGCCATGGAACCCTTGGAGGACGCTCAGGGATTTTTAGAGGTGCTTCGAGAAAAGTACGGCAACGGAGTAGGATGGATTTTTCTGGATCCTGAGCTTCAAGAAGATTTTGCCCGGGTGGATGTTTCGCTGCTGCGGAGCCTGGATGTGCAGAAACCAGCATGCAGAAAAAACACTCAACACCGTACGAGACCTGAGGACGGTGACCTGCGTTGGAAATGCTTCATGAAGACGGAACAGGGGCAGGGCTGTGAAGCGTCCTTTTCTACGTATCGACAGTTGTGCACTCACATTCAGACGCATCACAGACGTAAGGATATTTATACTGAGATTGTGGTTACGAACCAATGTCCCTATTGCCGTGAGGCCTTTGGAGATAGGAGTACTGCATACCGTCATGTGATTTCTAGATTGGCACGTCCTGGTGCGGGTTCTCGTACACGTTTTCTGGGACAAGTTGTGGAACCGACTTCTTTGCAATGCTCCTTATGTCCGTTTGTTGCTCAAGATCTTTCTCGATTGCATGATCATCTGATTACGCACGTTCCACCTCATACCCATGGAACTTTTAGAGCCAGCGTGGGCGCTGAAGCGCACGGGAGAGCCGGCCGCAGGCGATCAGCGCCGTCGGCGTTTGATCGAGGAGTCGGTCGGAGGAGGCGGCCGCCAGCAGCAACTCGAGCGCTTAGTGAAGGTGCTGGCGGCCCTGGCGTTGACGCAAGCGGCCGAGTTGAGGAACCTCATCGCCGCCGTCTACCACACTTTCTTGGTACCAAGCGGTTCGGTCATCGCCAAAGCTATGGTGGCCGCAGGGGTCGACTACCACAAGACCGTCAAGGCCACCAAGGGCACGGACCAGAGCACGCTGCTCGGACCTCCGTTCCTGCACGTGTTCAAGGCCATGGTACAAGCATCGTACGGAGTCGAGGCCGTCGGAGAGCAGCATCGGTCGGTGATCAAGCAGTTCTGGGACGACGTAATCATGAAACAATCCTTGGAGTCGGTAGCCGAGATGATTCGTCACTGCCGTTGCCGCTCCACGAAGAAGAAGGAGGGCAGCACCGAGTTCGTGAGGGTGACGGTGTGCTTCTCGGTGCAGTGGTCGGGGCTCGAGACGGCCGTGCTGTGTGCGCTCATGAAGACGGGGGCGGTGCGCAAGGTGGGCCCGCCGCCGCGCGGCCCGCTGGAGCGGGAGGCCGCCAAGCTTCTCGAGGAGCTGCAGTAGGAGCAGGTGCTTGCAGGAGTGAGGACCAACAAACACGCGCATGCAACGAACTGCTCCTGTCCCAAGGGACCCTGGGGGCACAAAGATCTTTTTCGTCGTCAGATCATGATGCGGAAGTTTTGAGGCTGGCTAGGAGGCTTGAATTTTTTTCGGTAAGAATGGCTGAGCTTCTGAGGTCTGGCCGATTAGATCCAGGATTGGCGCTTTCTTTCCTGAGGGATCGGGAGGGGTCGTCGGTCGTGTCGCGGGAGAGCGGGGGGGAGCGGAAGAAACCTCGGAAGTAGGTGCGTGCTATCTGGCCCGAGAGTGGGCCTTCCACGGACCTCGGCGCCAGCAGGCCCGATCCCGAATCTCACGGGACAGTGGCCTGTGCGAGCGCTGTGACGGCTCTCAGTGAGCTACATCGGCAGAGAATTTTTTGTATCGTGTCTCTCTTTACAGTTAGAGTGGATAGTGACCCATTGCTGCCAATGATGTCGTATCGTATCGTATCCTCCTCCTCCTCCTCCTCCTCCTCCTCCTGCTCCTCCTCCTCCTCCTCCTCCCTCTGTTTTCCTCGCTGTCTCCCTCGTCGTTTCTAGCACAGCCACAGCCCGCCCCACCACCAACACCACTTGCGAAGCTTGCTACTCCCTCCGCTCAGCTGCGGTGCCCTCCCCGTCTCCCGCCCGCCCTGCCTGCCTCATTATCAACGCGGCCCTCTCGCCCCTTTCTCCCTCCCTCGCCTTCCCTCCGCGACCCCGTGAGCGGCAGGGAAGGGAAGGACCAGAATGGCGGCACTGGGGGCGGGAGGTACTTGTGGCGAAGTCCATATCCCAGATCCTGGGGGTATAAGGAGGCCCCAGGGCAACCTGCAGGCCAGGTGGTCGCAGAGGCGCGCTGAGATGGGCGGTTGGATCGTGAGCTGCGGCGGTGGGGTCGCCGACCCCGCCAGGATAGACAGCACAGTGGGGGCGTTGACCTAAGGAACTCCAAATAAGGAACGAGGCCCCTTTCTCCCATAAGTTGAACTTCGATTTCCCATGGGAAACCTCAGGAAAACCGAAGGCAAACTGCAGAACAATCAAGGAACACCGAGCCCCTCCCCAACGAAAAGGGTTCCTTCTTCAGGGCCCCGACTGTATCTTTGGCGGCGCGCCACGCACAAGGGGGTAGGTGGAGGGAGGGCTTCCTAGAAGGAGGCCGCTTATCAAGAAGGACGCCGGCCCTACATCTGTAGAAGGGGCCCCCGCCTTCTCATGAGCACGGGTGCTTCTGTGCGTGGCCGATATTGTCGACACCTTGGTGGCCAGCGGGCTGGCCCCCAGCGCGCTGCACGCCAGTAGAGCTCGGCGGCCACGCTGGGATCGACAGTACGTCGGACACCACGGCCGCCTCGGCCGACGATCGCGCTGCCCGCGAGCCCGACGCCGACGACGGCCGCCAGCAGTCCAAGAGCCACGGGCGGGCCGCGCCGTCGAATTGAATGGGGACCTGGCCGACGACGCCGACAGGGAGGCCAAGTCGACAGTCCGGCGCGGACGGGGTGACATTTGCACGGATGGGGCCCACTTCCCTGTTGAAGACACATTGGCGCCTTCGCCCGCGGCAAAGCATCGCAACAGTGGCGACCTCCACCTGACCGGGGAAAGGGTTTCCAGAAACAGGGCCGAGGCACCCTCTGGCCCTGCCTCGCTCCGTGCCGGCGCACCCACGCGCACCACACCGCCGAAACATGTAATTTGCTATGCTGCTGGTTCTTCTCCGGCTGCTTCTCCACTTCGGTGTTCACTTTCCCGCCCTCCTCCCCTCCTCCGAACGCCATAGTTCCACTATTTTCAGCCCTTCGCATTCTTTCCCCTCCACCTCTCTGTGGCTCGTTGTTGTGCCTAGCCAGCTAAACGGAGAAGCGCCGCCATGCAGCAACCGATTGCTGCTGCATCTGCAAACATCAGGCCTCCGAGCGCGCACCAGCAAAATGTTGGCAGTCTCGATTCCTAGTGGCGCTGCAAGCATGGATGAGGCCTTTCTCGTGTTCCTCCTTCTCCTTCCCGCCCTGGGTCCTGTCATTATTTCCTGCTTTTCCAACTTCCCCTCTGTCCTCCCCGCCGTCTCCCCCAGTCCTCTTTCGGTCCTTTCACATCGGCCCCACAATCTAGACAATGACCACCCGAAGAAACCATCGGAAATGATTACACATTCGGTGCCGATTCGTTGATTTTTTTGACCGCGGGACCCCCCCTCACTTGAGGGCGTCGCCACGCTATGCTATGTTATGCCACGCGTCGCTCTCCAACACCATGCGATGCCATGTCATGCTGCGCCATGGTGCGACATCCAATTGCGCAAACAGAAAAGAGATCTACGCCACGGCGCGGGCTGGGCGGGAGGGGTACAACGCCAAATATGACGCGAACGCACCTAGCTTACCCCCAACCCTCTCCTAGCTCCCCTCTCTGCTCCTCGCTGATTTTTTACACACAATAACAAGCACAAACACAAACACACAAACACACACACACACAAACACACATAAAACATAAACACACAGACGCACACACAAACACAAACACACACAGACAGAACAATACACACAACACACACACACACCACACAAAATACACACAAACACACACACAAACACACACACAACACACACACACAAACACACAAACACACACACACACAAACACACACACACACACAAACACACAAAAACGCACACACAAACATACACGCACACACACACAAACACACACACAAACACACA